AAGATGAATGTTTCTTTTAACATAACTGAATTTTCGGACAATCCTGCTTGGTAAGCTATTTCATTTAGTTCAAACTGTCAAGTTGAATTAGGATGCCATGGGTTGCGGAAGTGGGGGGCCCACCTGGGACTGGGCCCAGGTTACTTTTGAGGTCTGGTATTATATAACATATGGTCGCCGTGATTTTGCCAAGTAAGACATGTTCCTGGACATCTTTTGTTGATCCTGGATCAACATTACTATCCAAAAATATAGACTAAACCCAATCCCTATCCCTAAACCTAACCCTACCCATAATTTATTCCTAAAATCAGTGTGAAATGATAGCTGATTAACAAAGCACCTAACCCTGATTGTAAGCCTAAAACAGATATTTCCTGAATAGTTATCCCTTAATTCTGATTGGTTAATTGGAATGTTGTTCCAGGATCAACAAGGATGTTGATCCAGGAACATGTTGTACTTGGTGAAATCACGGTCACCATAGCATATATACATAGGCTATAGGCTCATATATGTATGCATGATTAATCAATAAAAGATCACAATCTTGATTCAAACTTGCACAATCTTATTCATGAGCACAGTATAGGATGTAAACATTACAGCAAAATATTTTCTCACTGACTGCTCTCAACATTGGAATACACATGAATACAAACAAGTAATAATAGCAAAAAAGGGAATAGAATATATAGCAAAAACTATAAATAGTAACAGCAGTAAATCCTTTTTGATCTACAATTATTTGTGAATTAAAATATGCTGAAGTGTTGTATGTGCTGCATGTGCATTTGTGTGAGTGTGTTCTCTCTCTCTGTGTGTGTGTGTGACACAGGCACAGGTTCCTCCTATCCTAAGAGTTAATTAATAGTTAATTAGAGCCACATTATTAAGAAACTGGCAGGATCTGTATCAGGGTGTGTGTCCCTACCTCCATGACACTTGACTCTGCAGTCCACCCTACCTAAGGATTAATTGCATACTGCAAACTTATGTACTGTATGTGTGCTCAGTGTTTTATTTCTACATATTCAATGTAAAGTTCACTACAAGTGTCTACAGTACTATGGCTATTGCTATTGGGTTTTGATGTGTTAGACTATATTGCAAGTAGCCTACATCAGTTTTTACCCTAAATCCCACTTTATCTGCTGATGCAATCCAGTAACATGCTCGTCAACACTTAAGTTAACCAATTATCACGAAACAATGACATTTCAAAATATACTGGGGTTCTACGCTAAGCTTACAACTGTTTAATACGATGTAGGCTACAGTCCAAAAAAAAAAAAAAACCCCGGAGCTAACTGGCAGAAGTAGTGTGAAAATGACTTGTGCTAGCTGTATTTTCTGTTTTCTTCTTACCTCGGCGGCACTGTAAGCATCTTTTAGATCCACTGATAGAAACCAGCATTCATTAAGAAGGTGATCTGCGAGTGAAACAGGGTGAGACTCATGCTCTTGCAGTGAGAGCAGTCTGTCTTAGTGAGTGCAGCCTTAGTGTGGGCGTTGCCCAGGCAAGTAATGCACTCACTATGGCTGTCTGAAGCTTGCAGGGGTGCCCTGCATGAGCCAGATTCAGGGGTGGGCTGGGACAAAAATTCAGCCCTGGCACTGTAGCCACACCGGCCCACATTACAACACCGACACAGCCCCACCCATGGACACACACATTCACTACTTACATTTGTCTACAGATGGTGAAATAATATAAGAAGTACCATATATGTAACAGATATTTAAACATTTAATGTATGTGTCTGGCAAATAATGTTTACTACTTTTTAAAGAGCACACGTTAATAACAAATTTACACATACAGTAAAAACAAAAGAAAAAGAATCTGAGGGTGTTGTAGAGTCTGTGTGATGTCTGTTTATGCCATTTGTCTGCTGTTACTGTCATTCTCTACAGTATGTTGTTCTTTGTGGTCACTGTCTGTCTGTTGGGTTTTTCCTACCTCTACTATACTCCTCCTTGTCTCTGCTAGGCCTACCGTAGCACCCTTCCTCACAGCACTGGTGTTGAAAGACCAGGGGTCTCTGGCTGTACTGATTCCAGCAACATCCTAGTTAATGAGCACAGTATAGGATGTAAACATTACAGCAAAATATTTTCTCACTGACTGCTCTCAACATTGGAATACACATGAATACAAACAAGTAATAATAGCAAAAAAAGGGAATAGAATATATAGCAAAAACTATAAATAGTAACAGCAGTAAATCCTTTTTGATCTACAATTATTTGTGAATTAAAATATGCTGAAGTGTTGTATGTGCTGCATGTGCATTTGTGTGAGTGTGTTCTCTCTCTCTGTGTGTGTGTGTGACACAGGCACAGGTTCCTCCTATCCTAAGAGTTAATTAATAGTTAATTAGAGCCACATTATTAAGAAACTGGCAGGATCTGTATCAGGGTGTGTGTCCCTACCTCCATGACACTTGACTCTGCAGTCCACCCTACCTAAGGATTAATTGCATACTGCAAACTTATGTACTGTATGTGTGCTCAGTGTTTTATTTCTACATATTCAATGTAAAGTTCACTACAAGTGTCTACAGTACTATGGCTATTGCTATTGGGTTTTGATGTGTTAGACTATATTGCAAGTAGCCTACATCAGTTTTTACCCTAAATCCCACTTTATCTGCTGATGCAATCCAGTAACATGCTCGTCAACACTTAAGTTAACCAATTATCATGAAACAATGACATTTCAAAATATACTGGGGTTCTACGCTAAGCTTACAACTGTTTAATACGATGTAGGCTACAGTCCAAAAAAAAAAAAAAACCCCCGGAGCTAACTGGCAGAAGTAGTGTGAAAATGACTTGTGCTAGCTGTATTTTCTGTTTTCTTCTTACCTCGGCGGCACTAAATGTCCTCCGCTGCAGCAGCCAAATTTAAATCTTTTGAAAGGAGTTTGGTTAATTTTACGCATTAAAATAATGATGAAATAACATTCTCCAAATGTTTTAGTGGGCTGAAATGCCATTTGTTTGTGCAGCTACATGAATGTGAACAAATCATGCTTCAGCATTCAAATGTTCCCCCATAGTATTTCACACAATGCGACAGACCATTTTCAAAAGGGAACACTTCAGCCTGTAACTCCCTTGACATGCTTAGTTTAGATTTTTTTTAAAAAGCTAAAGATGAATGTTTCTTTTAACATAACTGAATTTTCGGACAATCCTGCTTGGTAAGCTATTTCATTTAGTTCAAACTGTCAAGTTGAATTAGGATGCCATGGGTTGCGGAAGTGGGGGGCCCACCTGGGACTGGGCCCAGGTTACTTTTGAGGTCTGGTATTATATAACATATGGTCGCCGTGATTTTGCCAAGTAAGACATGTTCCTGGACATCTTTTGTTGATCCTGGATCAACATTACTATCCAAAAATATAGACTAAACCCAATCCCTATCCCTAAACCTAACCCTACCCATAATTTATTCCTAAAATCAGTGTGAAATGATAGCTGATTAACAAAGCACCTAACCCTGATTGTAAGCCTAAAACAGATATTTCCTGAATAGTTATCCCTTAATTCTGATTGGTTAATTGGAATGTTGTTCCAGGATCAACAAGGATGTTGATCCAGGAACATGTTGTACTTGGTGAAATCACGGTCACCATAGCATATATACATAGGCTATAGGCTCATATATGTATGCATGATTAATCAATAAAAGATCACAATCTTGATTCAAACTTGCACAATCTTATTCCTAAATGATGATAATTTCGCTATGTCTATTAAACCTTTGGAATGACAATCACATCAGAATATTTAAATATGCTTTTGCGCAGCTGCTGATCCAGAGAGAGCAGCACTAATCTTGTAAGCTTTATGTCTGTAACAGCTTCACAAACAGTCGGCTATACATTTCTGTGTTGCCACTTGCAAACCTTAAATAATAATGAAAGTATTAGTATAAAAGTTTATAGTCCAGATATAGCTGCAATCAAAATGAGTAACTGATCTTTGGAGCTAATGTTATGCTTTAAAAAATATGGTATGTGTTACATTGTGCCAGTGGGAGCTGACCAGTAACTGTTAAAATATATTTGATGTCTGAATCATTCATTCAAGAGATTTGTTCAAAAACCCTGGATGAAACGAATCTTAATAATGAATAATGAATAATGAATTCATTGAAATTAATAAATATTTTTAAATAGACTAATATATAACTTTAAATAAAACATTTAGTCAGAAACTCAAGTAAATTAGCATATACATATTTTGTTTGGTTGTCTAATGTTTTGTTTTCAGAATCATGGGAGAACCGTGATTTATATTCTAAAAATCAATTATCCAGAGTGGTATGACGACTGAAGCCTTCTACCAAAGCCTCATCAAGCAACAAGTATTATCAGAGCTAATTATCAGAGTTACTGATACACAAACTGAAAGAAATCAGTTATGGGAAACTCTGTGTCTCCACCCACATTTATATTATATTTATACTGTATATATCCAGTGTAACAGATCGGCCAGGCTCCACCACCACCCAATCACAACGATCCCTCTCACCTGAGTTCTGAGCACCTGCACCTGTCACCAATCAAGCACCTCGTTACCAGCCTGCATAAAAGCACACACCTCAGACACCCTCACTGTCCGGTCTCATATACACATAGAGGACTCAATGACTTTGCTACTACTGCCATTTGAATACTTCCTGCATTACTTACCTCCTGTGTTCCTCCTAGTGTTTCCTCATCTCCAAGTGTCTCCTGCTCCTCCTAGTTCCCGGATCGCTGAGGTGTGTGCCCCTTCTGCCTGCATTCCAGCTGCTGTACAGCCAAAGGCCCGGATTACCCCGCTCATCATGTCCTTCGAACTATTCCCTCACCATCACATCCTCTGAACCCTACCCCAGTACTCTCTGTGACCCAATAAACCTATTTGATTTATACTAACCTGTTGCGTCAGACCTCTTCCGTTACATCCAGTGAAAGCTCATTGATTCACTGATTGTCTTCATGATGACTATCATCTCTCTGCTCCTGCTGGCCTCTCTGCTACCACACCTGACCTTCACTGGTGAGACCAATCAAAACAAATTCTAATGAGCAACGTTTCATAGCATATATAAGACAGTGAGGAGGAAATAAAATAACCTAAAATAACCAACATTATATATCTCTTTCTCAACTTGTGCAAATGTGGGTACAGTGAACGGCAGGGAAGCAAAACCCCACTCCAGACCTTACATGGTATCTGTTCAAACAAAGGAGCATCACATCTGTGGTGGATTCCTCATCTCTGATAGATTTGTCATGACTGCTACACATTTCCAAATGAAGTAAGACCTTGTTTAATCCACAAGCTTGTGTTACCTAATTATATAATATAATATATAATGTAACGGCCCGAATCCCCCGACACAATGATAGGCCAGAACCGCCCAAACCTCAACTGATGGCATTCTGAAAGAAGCATATCCTTCTGGAATAACAGAGACTGGGGCAGCAGCAACTTACAGGAGAAGGGAGCAAAGGGGTGCTCTTCTTTATAAGCAGCTAAGAAGAGCAGCAAGCCCCTTACCGGAGGAGAGTAGCAGTGAAGGGGTGCTCTTCTTTATAAGCAGCTAAGAAGAGCAGCAAGCCCCTTACCGGAGGAGAGTAGCAGCGAAGGGGTGCTCTTCTTTATAAGCAGCTAAGAAGCGCAGCAAGCCCCTTTAATGCAATACCTGAAAACCCACTAGAATTGGCAGCCTAGTTTGCAGCAAACATAGCGTAAAAGGCGCTGCTTGTACTGCTTAGAATAATTGGACTATATTTAAATCCTTTGTGTTAATTTGAGCGCTCAGTCGTAACCTTCCAATCACCACCGAAGTGAATTATTATTATTTTTTAAATGAACATAGCTTGATTTCAGCCAGTTTATCATGTATTTAATCAACACGTCATATCACCCTAATTTCTCATGCTCATATTCTCACATTACTCCGCGTGAGCACATATTCAAGCGGATCAGAAATTATGAATCTCTAATAAGTATTGAGTGGCAGTCCGGCAGGGGAAGCATACACCCTGCCGAAATACTTCGTCATTGATATTACATTTTTATATGTATAGAAGCCATTAGGAGCGATAAACACGTGCTTCTGACGCAACTGAAATCAACCGCACACTCACACAGCTAATGAAAACATCAACCACACACACACACACACACACACAGTGGGCAGCTATCTGTTGTGCAATTCAGATTTGTAACCCAAAGGATGTGGGTTCGATTCTCAGTAGCAGCAGGAAATGTAGGTAGGTGGAGTGAACGAAAAGCGCTCTCTTCCACCCTCAAAACCCCCACTCAGCTTGATGCCACACTTTGCACAGTTATTCACGACAAAATGGCAGTGGCAATGAGTAAATAAGCAAAAATGAGCAAGGCACCAAACCCTCAATTTCTCCCGGGCAACCGCAGCAAAAATGACTACCCACTGCTCCGGCTATGTGTGCACTTGGCTGGGTAAAATGCAGAGCACAAATTCCGAGTATGGTTTACCATACTTGGCTACACATCATGTCACTTTCACTGTTGCACAGTATGAATTTACAATGGTTTTTGCCAAAGAATGTAATAAGCTATATACTTCTGACTGTACTATAGGTTTGGTAATGTTGCTCGAGCACACTAATGCTAAAAGTTGGTCTTTGATACTGATAAATATTGAATGCTAAGCTGCATAATTGTATATTTCCCTTTCTCACGTGTGCCTGACCCGGTAAATATGGAAGTGGCATTCCATTCTAGATTCTATTTACACTAAGTGAATTATTTATTACAGTATTTTCTTTGCAATAAAATTTGTTAAATGCTATTTATACTACTTAGTGCAATTGGCAAATATTTGATCCTCAGTATTGTAGTATATTATTAAACAGTATGCAATAATAACATATTGAGTGTAAATGATCATTAAAAAAATTATTAAATGGATGCCACCTTATTGGGACAATAAAGGTACACCTACACCTACACCTACCCCAACCCTAACATTATTTTCCAATTTTCCATTATTTCTTTAATTTTTTTGAAAATGAATGCCTTTCAGATCTGGTATGTGATGCAAAAAGAGAGAAGAACGAATTCGGCAAAAGGCGGGGTCCAATTTCGGTCGATTGCTTAAAAAAAGTCACTGCTACACAAAAGTCACTTAAAACTATCATCTTAAAGCAGCTGCCAAGGAAAACAAAAAGTCCTTTACAATGTACAGAACAATTCTCCTAGCAACAAGATTAACGGTATTACAGTGCTACAGTAATAAAAAAAAAACAAGATGGCATCAGTTGCATTTCTTCGAAGCAAAAGAGTGTGAATCCGCGGTGTGAAGACATGAAAGAAGCGCGAAAGATATGTCTTTGTAATGGATGATCGGCCAATCAGAATCAAGTATTACAGAGTGTGGTATCATTGCTAAATTACTGTTGTAACGAGAGGGGCGGGAATACATTTTGTGTGCAAAGAAAACAATAACATAATTTATTCAGCAATTCTTATCCCTGAATTACCATCTTTCGCCATTTTGGAGAGTACCCCAGAACGCAATCAATGTAATCAGCATTGTTTACGTTCAGTAGACAGCACGCGCATTCTGAACGTAAACAACGCTGATTACGTTGATTACGTTCTGGGGTACTCTCCAAAATGGTGGAAGACGGTAACTCGGGGAGAAGAATTGTTGAATAAATTATGTTATTATTGTTTCCTTTGCGCAAAAAAAAAATATTCTCGTAGCTTCGTAACGTTATGGTTGAACCACTGATGTCACATAGACTATGCAAAATTCAGGCTGGACCAGAAAACAAACCAGACAGACATACTTAAATCTCAACTTCAGGGAAATTACCTAAAAATAGGTTGCGTATATGTTCTTATAAAATAAATTATTAGCAAAACTGCTGTTCAGAATGATTAAATATTTCTGTTATAGTACTAGTACTACAGCTAGAGAAAAAAGTTAACTGGATATCCAATAAAATAAGAGGAGACTGAAGTGCATTCTGTCTGCAGCGTTGCAGGCTGGGGAAGGCTGGATAATGGCTCCCTTAGCAATCGTCTCATGGAAACACATGTGAAGATCACGAATCACACAAAATGTGAAAATAAATGGGGAAACGTTGACTATTCAGCTTCACAGATGATGTGTACATATGGCAATGGAGGAAGTTGCACTGTAATTACAAAGATCATCTGTCTTATTGATTGAAATAAGGCCCCAAATGGTGAGCATAATATCTGTGTTTATATTGTTAACAGGGGGATTCAGGAGGTCCTTTGGTTTGTGGGAAAACTGCTGTTGGTGTCACATCTTTTGGTGACCCTAATCTCTGTAATTCCCCTGAGCTACCTGAAGTCTATATGAAGGTGCAGCATATCTGCTATGGATACATAAGTTTATTGGAAATATTTATTGACTTTTTAACTTGATTTTGACTTGAATTTTTCCAATTTGTTTGAATATATGTGTCATATGTCAATCACCTATGAGTGGTTATTTCTTTACCCAGTCTGTGAAGACTGCAAATATGAAGGCCTATTTTCAAAAAAAAATTTATAACATTTTTCAAAAAGGATGGTATATTCTGATTTCCTGCAGACAAGAAGATGTTTTTACCACATTGATTCAAGAGATAGCATATTTCCTGTTCACAAGACAAAGAGTATTGTACTGCAAAAACAGTCACTTAACTGCTAAAGACTTTTAGGTAGACCTGATAGAAGGAACTAAGCATTTAAACGGTTGACTTGAATATGCTAGAAGTATTTTTAACACATGAAACATGGTAGCATGTAGTGTCAACAAGACCTTGATTACAGTATAAAAAAAATACTGCAACTCACCAGATGCCATAATATGTTGAGGCCATTACATATTAGAGGTTCTTTATGTAATTTTTTGACTGTGCTAAAGCATAAAAATTCCATAATATGTTTGCAGATATTTAGAGAACATGCTACATTCACAATCTTTTACCAAAAAACATTGCTACAGTCTGTTAATCTATTTCAGAATGTGTGTTCTGTGTCAGCATGCCTGTTTTTGTTTTGGTCTGTGTGATTCCGCCCACTGCTAATTTACCCAATAGGATTTCAACACTCCGGGTTGCCAATTGTTGGAAAAGCCAGCATACTGCAGCCACGAATGCCAGCAAATGAACTGGGCCAGAGATTGCAGATTCTACCTGACCTACAAAGCCTCAGCATCCATCTAAAAAGCTTTGTGACCAGAGGCTTTTCAAAACACGAATAATTCAACTCATTAGCTGACAGTGTAAGGCTTGTCGCTTTCTATTGTCAGTTGTGCTTAATCCTGTTGCATGTCTTCAATCTGACAACCCACACAGGTGTTGAGACTGAGGAGGAGGGGGTGGGTGAAACACTATTTTGAAGCATAAACTCATGGCCATGATAAAAGTATGTTTTTTGCTTAATTTAAGAAGTCGTGGCACCAAGAGGCCATGACTTATTACCACTTTTTTACGATATGTCTTGGCCACAACAAAACGGAACTTGATCAGAAGAAAAGCGAACAAAACAGGTCCTTTTCCAGTCAACATAACATTCAAGAGAATGAGGAACATGTTGTGACTTCAAGCTGCAAGCCATTTACATCATACATAGTGGAAACTTCTAGCAAGACTACAAACTTTGCACCTTCAGTATCTTTGCTTCCGAATCTAAACCCCTAACACAGGACAGTTGTGGTCATCAGCAGCAGATGTGGTTTTAGAAGCATTACTATGAAGTTTTACCAAACCTAACTTGAACATTGTGAAACTGCTCTGCTTTTGCAACACAAACCATCTTTGATTGAGACAGAATTGTAAAGCAAGTAAAACTGTATTGAGTAAAAAAAAAAAAAAAAAAATAGAAAGCAAAATATAATTACTGCATTTTGTGTTCGAATTAAGAACAACATAGGCTCACTGGAAATACGTGCCTCTAAATACATTTCTGCAAAACTGAAAAAACATGCCTATACATACGAATCGCTAGTTTCCAGTTGAAATAAACACTAGAGGCAGTAAAACTCTCAGATAAGTTGTATTCCTTTTCAAACAAAGTATGATTTGCAGGTCCACAGTTTTGATTTATAAAGCCTAATTTTCACACAAATCAAGCGTAGCGTTACTTCTGGCAGGTCACGTTAGTCAAGCTCGCATCAGCTGACCTTCAGCTGATCCCCATCTACCTATGGGAATACGACACCTATCTAAGCATTCATATATAAGGTCCCTCAGTATTATCAGCAGTTTTCGCATTGCTCAATAGCTAATTAGCCTCCTCCATCCCCAACTCCTCCTCTGTCAGTCGGGATTCAGCCTTCTGATTCTCCTTGAATCAGACTAATTCTAAAATGTGTACATAACATTATTGAACTTTAACGATATCTGCAATGCATTTATGTTAGTTCTGTTCTGTTTACCCTGGGGGGTTATTGCTGCTCTCCCTGCTCTCATCTATGCTAGGCTGCATGGAGGCGCAGGGAGTTCTTGCCCAGAACGGAACCATACCGCCAACGTTAGCATCACATATACAGCTTAATATGTATGGGTTTTTATATTCAGTAGGTTTGTTTGGTAGCTCATGCAGTATGGAGTTTGACTTGAGAACTTGGGTATAAATCTCGTAAAACTAGAAACAGTTCCACAACACAGTTCAAACCTGCATATAAGGAAGTTCAAATGGCACGGTGTCATCAACAAATCCATTTTTATTCCAGTTTTGCATTTTCTAGCACTATGTACACTCACTGGACATTTCACTTTGAAACTGCCTCAAATCGTGCAGTAAAATACGTAATAATTGTGTTGCAGAAATGTGTTTAGAGGCAGGTATTTCCAATTACCCTGGCTTGATTAAGAATCACTAGAACTTTTTACTCTTTACTACATGAGAACTTTATTTCCTTGACAATGCCATAAACCCTAAAACGACTGTAAAAGTCGTAATAAACTACTTTACAGCTCAAACAGTGCACAGGTTTTAACAGAATAATTAATGCAGGTGCCTTTACAAAATTATGAGCTTCAGATTTCTGCTTTTAAACTCTCCAAAAATGTGCCCATTCACTATCATTGTAAGTGCCTCTCTGTAACATCTCTCTGTAAGGAAAACAAGGAACAATTTAAAATATTTTTTGTGGCAACTGACATTATGCAAGAAATACTGTTGTTTTATTTGAACTACTATAAACTATTCAGAGTTTAGTCATTTAAAGCTATTTCCACATTTTATGCAGACTTATGGTCAGATAAATGTCTCCACCCCCCTTTAAAGTATATTTATACAGTGTTTGTCAATGAGAGCTCACTGATTGTCTTCATCATGACCATCATCGTCTCTGCTCCTGCTGGCCTCTCTGCTGCCACACCTGACCTTCACTGGTGAGAATGATTGACTAAATTGCATACTGATCAGTCTGGTGAATAAGACAACTAACAGTGCTATCTCTTTTAGCTCATATGGGAATAGTGAACGGCAGGGAAGCAAAACCCCACTCCAGACCTTACATGGTTTCTATTCAGATTTTTGGGCAACACAACTGCGGTGGATTCCTCATCTCTAATGAGTTTGTCTTGACTGCTGCACATTGCTGGAATGGGTAAGAATTTTGTTTAGTCTAAACTGCAGTTAAGTTAAAACCACGTTTAACTTACAAAAGGACTGCGGTGCAACCATACAATGTACCTTTTCATAAATAAGCATCTTGACTCAATAAATCAATCTTTCCAATACACTCTTTCAACAGATCTCAGATTCTGACAGTTGTGGTTGGTGCTCATGACTTAAGGAAAAGTAAGACTTTGAACCGCATCGGAGTGAAGAACTACATCCCACATCCAGACTACAAAACCAGTCCTGTTCGGAATGACATCATGCTTTTGAGGGTAACAGCCTGTAATACATTTAGCTGTTAAAAATAACATCTGATCAGAAACTCTAGCATAAACTTGACTCACACTACGAGAGTTATTATATATATATACATATATATATATATATATATATTTTTTTTTTAATTATTCCTTGTATTATTTCTTTTTGACATTGTGGAAAATATTTAATTAAAGGGGTCATATGATGTTACTAAAAAGAACATTATTTTGTGTATTTGGTGTAATGAAATGTGTTTATGCGGTTTAAGGTTAAAAAACACATTATTTTCCACATACTGTACATTATTGTTTATCCTCTATGCCCCGCCTTTCTGAAACACGTCGATTTTTACAAAGCTCATCAGTCTGAAAGCGAGGTGTGCTGTGATTGGCCAGCTATCCAGTGCGTTGTGATTGGCCGAATATCTCAAGCATGTGACGGAAATGTTACGCCCCTACCATACTGTGATGCCCTGTCCGGCCGGAGCGACGAGACAAAAACATTAAAACCCATTATAAACGAGGCATTTGTTGCATCCAGTAATGATTTATACTGTCTTTTTATGCATTGCTTAGTTCTTTCTTAAATTTTTCCTTAAGATTTTCATGAATCTGACCCCTGTTCAGAGGGCAGCTGTGGTCATCAGCTCATCTGTGGTTCCAGCAGTTTGACAGATAATTGTAAAGCAAATAAAAATGTAGGCCAACCGAGTAAAAAATAAACAACTGTGCATTTAATTACTTCGCAGATCATCAGAACTTTAAAAAAAAAAATCCTTTAGACAGATGATACTAGATCTCAGAAAAAAACTGAGCTCAGTCAACAACATGATGATCACAATATAATTAATTTCCACTTGTCACTATAAAGAAATTGGGGACAAATCTGTAAATGTTAAAATACTCACTGTTTCAATATAGCCATAAGACAAATAAATACAAAAGCCATTCCCATACTCTGACATCCAAAGTCACACGTACACATGCATATCTTATACCTGTGAGTCCTTAACCATCTTCAAGAAACGACTAAAAACACATCTGTTCAACCTTTATTTGACCCTCTAACTCTAGCACTTTCTATTCTATTTTAATTCTACTTTATCTATATTTATCTTCTGTTTTTATTTTTAAAAAAACACTAGCTTTCTATTTTTTTATTCTATCTACTTGTTTTTCTTTGTGTGTGTGTGTGTGTGTGTGTATAATTATATATAATATTTATATATATACACTCCTTGCTACGTGTACTGCGTTAGGCTAACCGAGACTTGTCATTTGCACTTATATATTGTTGCTCTTTTGTTAGTTTTGACTGCTTTTATTGTCCTCATTTGTAAGTCGCTTTGGATAAAAGCGTCTGCTAAATGACTAAATGTAAATATCTTGTATTTTGTGTTTTCATGTAACAGTTGATACAGATGACAAGAAGTAACACAAATTATATCTTCTTACTATCAGTGTTACTGACACCACAAGCTGAGGAAAAAAAGGCTTAATTTCACAAAGAAGTTACTATGCTTTTGCTTCGTTTCTCCTGAAGTCCACGGTCATCTCCACAGTTTTGAGCGTGTTGAGCTCCAGGCTGTTGAGACTGCACCAGACAGCCAGCTCTTTAACCTCCTGTCTGTAAGCAGACTCGTCACCGTCCTGAATGAGGCCGATGAGTGTAGTGTCGTCTGCAAACTTCAGGAGCTTGACAGAGGGGTCTTTAGATGTGCAGTCGTTCGTGTAGAGGGAGAAGAGCAGTGGGGAGAGAACACAACCCTGAGGAGCTCCAGTGCTGATTATACGGGTGCTGGATGTGAGTTCTTCAGGAAAGCAAGAATAGTAATATTCAAGTGCCCACTGATAAGAAATGCTCTCTGACCAGGCTTTCTTTGTGGATGTCACAGAGCTGCTCAGTGTTTTGAATGTTCAGCTCCAGGGAAAAGACCAGATTATCATCCAGTTTTTTGATCACGTCAGAGCCTTCAAAAAAAACCTACTGCTCCTCAGAAGACATCTCTCAGGAGGTAACAGCAACATTCACAGTTATAATATTTAGAATATCTTATGTGCCGTTATTATTATTATTATTAGAATTATATGTGGAGTTTGCATTTATATTCAGTCGTGTCAGCTTTGGAATTTTGTTGTATATCAAGCTGATAACATTTTCCTTAAAGTTTCTTAAATTGTCATGAATTAATAATTAGATTCTTTTGTCTTGTTTGTTTGTTTATTTGTATAGCACGTTTAAAAACAACTCATGTTGACCAAAGTGCTTTCCAATAAAACAACATATAAAACATAATAACCAAAACTAAAACAGCAGTTTTTGTTTTAGTTTTGACATAAACAATAAACACAAGACCATCAGATATACACCAACTAGCTCACACCAAATGCCCGGGCAAGTAAGTGCCCTCTTAAAAGTGTTTTAAAATGACCTAGTGATGTTCAACATCTAATTTCCAGTGGCAGGTCATTCCAGAGGCAAGGTGCCGCAACCGAAAAGGCATGGTCTCCTTTGGACTTTAAGCGGGATTTAGGGACCTTTAATAAGATTTTTTGAGATGACCTCAATGCCTATGTTGTAGAATAAAACTGGATCATATCCGAAATATATTCAGGTACTAGATGTTCACCTAACGTTAGATTCCAATTGAATTTGAAAGTTGGAAGAGTTTTATGGTGTCTTAGAAATGACATATGCTAAGTGTAAGATAAATAATTTATTCAATTGAATGCCAAATAATTTCATTATCTATCAAAGCAAAATAACTAAATATTATTTGCAACAGGTTTGTCATCTCTGCAATGCCCTCAACTTACCACTAGAGGTCACCATCCCCAGCTTTCTAAATTGGACTTCTAAATGGACTACATACTTTATACATACTGAGCAAAAAGAAACAAACTCTCACATTCAGTTGAGTCTATTCCTGGAAATTTCTTTAGCATGTGTAAATTTTTGTATTACCATTAACTTCAACAACTGAGACATGAGCTTAACAAGTTTCACAGACATTTGACAAACAAAAATGGAATAATGTGTCCTTGAAAAAACTGCTCCACCAGAACCAGCTGCTTACAATACTACAGTGCATCTCATCCTCATGGACTGCACCAGATTTATCAGTTCTTTACAGAACACAGTGGACCGAAGTCCTCTTTTCAGATGAAAGTAAATTTTGCATTTCATTTGGAAATCAAGGTCCCAGAGTCTGGAGGAAGAGTGGAGAGGCACAGAAACCATGTTGCTTGAAGTCCAGTGTGAAGTTTCCACAGTCAGTGATGATTTGGGCTGCCATGTCATCTGCTGGTGTTGGTCCACTGTGTTTTCTGAAGTCCACAGTCAACGCAGCCATCTAACAGGAAATTTTAGAGCACTTCATGCTTCCTTCTGCTGACAAGCTTTATGGAGATGCTGATTTCATTTTCCAGCAGGACTTGGCACCTGCCCACACTGCCAAAAGCACCAAAAGCTGGTTCAATGACCATGGTGTTACTGTGCTTGATTGGCCTGCAAACTCGCCTGACCTGAACCCCATAGAGAATCGATGGGGTATTGTCAAGAGGAAGACGAGAGACACCAGACCCAACAATGCAGATGACCTGAAGGCCACT